TATATATACAAAAAATGTCGTTTTCCTTCTTTATTCGCAATCAAATGCCTGTATTTTGTATGTTTTTGTGCGCCCCTAATGATTAACAAGCTCATGCCGTGCCGCGCAACACAAACACTTCGGCGCGCAATAATGAAGGGCGTGCATAATACATGCGGCCCCGCGACCCTTGTGACCCGCGCCAGTCCAAACGGGCCTCGGCTGAGGAGGGTTTAGCCCTAAACTCGCGCCCCTCCTGTGCCCTGTGCCCCATGTCGCTACCGCTCTAAGCACAATGACTTTGGTGCGGGTTAGGTACCTCTAGCGTCGCACGGCGTAGCGGACTTCATGAGAGTGTATTTTCTGAACCCCGTGTTCTTGCATCAAGCTTTTCATGCTTGACTGTCTCGAGAATATTTTGTACATGAAACTTTTAAAAAGATTTGGTATTGAAAGTTGCCATCAAATTTGCGTGGCGGTGAGCTATCGATCCTTATGGGGTCGAACCGCTGCTATTATTCTGCTTCTAAAATATGCATGAAACTACGACGTGAAGCGGAAGTAGATTTTTATGTTTCCACCGGGTCGGGAAAAAAGGGACTTAGTTGAAAAAAATTGTTAAAACAAAAAATAAAAAATAAAAATGGATTTCTTGTTAAATTTGCATGTTGCGTTTGAGCCTTGTCTGCTGATCAGCAATCGCGACAAAAATTCTGCATGGCTTCTGCATGATTGTACGTGTTGCAGGTCACCGCAGGACCCGCAGCTGCCAAGGGGAGACAAATCAATGCGTCGTGTGCCTGAAAAAGTTCGATCATGCCTCCCATCTCCGGTGCCATCTCAAAATTCACATCGAAGAGAAGCCATTCAAATGTTCCGTATGCCAAAAGGAATTTGTCAGAAATGGAAACCTAAAGAGGCACCTCAAAACTCATGCAGGGGAAAGGCAGTTTGAATGTACTGTTTGTCACAATAATTTTCAATCGCGACAAAAATTCTGCATGGCTTTTGCATGATTGTACGTGTTTCAGGTCACCGGAGGCCCCGTAGCTGCCATGGGGAGACATATCAGTGTGTCTTGTGCCTAAAGAACTTCGATCATGCCTACCTTCTCCGGAGCCATCTCAAAATTCACATCGAAGAGAAGCCATTCAAATGTTCCGTATGCAATAGGGAATTTGTCAGAAATGGAAACCTAACGAGGCACCTCAAAACTCATACAGGGGAAAGGCAGTTTGAATGTACCGTTTGCAACAATAATTTTTCTGAAGCCCATTCCCTTAAGAGACATCTGCGTACTCATACGGGAGAGAAGCCTTTCGAATGCACGATGTGCTTCAAGAAATTCATCCAAGCCAGCGACTTGAACATGCATTGCCGAACCCATATAGACGAGAAACTATTCCAGTGCACCGAATGCCACATGAAATTTACGGAGCCATGCAATTTGAGGAGACATCTTCGCACTCACACCGGTGAGAAACCATTTGAGTGCAACAAGTGCTCCAAAGCCTTCTCGCAATCTGGAAATCTCAAGCGTCATCTTCTGTTGCACCTACCAAAAATACCATTCCAGTGCACAGAGTGTACTAAGAAGTACTCTCAATCTGGTAATCTGAGGCGTCATCTCCTGATGCACATCCGAATCCTGTGCGAGAGGGAAAGAGAAGCCCAATATATTGCTACTGATTCTACAAATAAAAATGACGTTACCTGTATTCCTAGAATAAATAGATTGTACCTGTAAAATTGTCGCCACCTTTTCTTTTCTTTTTTGGAAATGCCTTTTATGTAATTGACAGCTATTTGCCATTATCCGAGCTTAAAAGAACTCTTGTTTTGGTAGGGAGTAGCTTTAGCGAACCGCGAGCTTGACAGTAGCATTCTGCCTGCCGTTGCGTTCCGCTGCTCCGCTGCCGTAGCCATAACCACTCGCTTTTGGACAGGTTTGCTTGCCACGTGTGACGGACTGTCGAGTCCGTTGTCGCACGACATTTACGGGAACCCCTTAATGAGAAAACGGGCTGGCTGTGGGACCCAGAAACGCGCGAGTAATGTAAACCGTCGTCGCGGCTCGAGCAGCTCTCTTTCGCGCCCGTGCCTTTTCCCCCCACAAATCCGGCTGGATTGAGCTTTGCTAAAATTGTGCCGACTGGGGAAATGCAAATACATTTTGGATATCACAATTCAAACCCTTCAAGTCCAAGTTCACGGCCGCCACAAAAACACTGTGAAACATTTTTGGACCGGTTTCAGTCCGTTCATTCATTTTGCGCGGCGAAAATTTGGCGCGCGCGGACGATGCGGCAGCAGCAGCATTATCGCCATAAGCCAACACCTCGCCCCTTCCGGCGCCCCCTTAGCACCCCGTCCTCCTCGCCCCCCGTGGGGTACGGAGCCCTCGCAAACGAGTGCCCCCCCC